TATTGAAAAGCCTTTTATTGATTGCTCTTTGGATTTCAGGAGCAATTTCTGGATGTAGGGTTTTTGCAAAGCATTTTCAACTGCTTCCTTCAGGGGAACATTAGTATACAAACTTTTCACATCAAGAGATATTATGGTTTCAACCGGATCTTGAGCAACGTATTCAGTTGTTTCTCTGGCATCTTTAGAATTGGTTTCTATATTGGCGCCATCGATATTGTCAGAAACTTTGCAAGCGTTTTATTAAGATTCTCATACGATCTGCTCTTTTTAGGGTCCCAGAGGACGAGGTTTTTTCGGTTCAAGCTGTACCTAATTTTCAACTTAGTAGTTTAAGTTGAAAATTATGTACAGCTTGGTCCGAAAAAAACCCGTTCTTTGGTACCCTTAACTTCGAAAAGTCCGGTGTTAGATTGTTTTTTAGACATGTTCTCAGAAACTTCAGTCTATGTACAAATACTTTACTTTCCTAAAGAATTTTAAATTCAATGTGGTTCTAGTAACATCGGGTCGACAAAATCGTTACCGCTTGAAAAGTATCAGCCAATCCGCGCGAACTAATTTAGTTGCATGTGAAAATAGTGAGATCATGGCTGGATCTCTGTATACTCAGACCACGAGGTCAATCCTGAAAACAGGAATGGTACATTATTACTATTAAGTTACTATTTTACCATTGTCTTTGCATAGTAGAGAAATCATCCCATCCATCGGAGATGGATCGACCCTTTCCCTCAACTCCTACCTTCTCATTATCTGAGAAGGAAATTTGATAATAATAATTTTAGTTCAGGACATCCTAGGAAGCTAAAAGTTGTTTAAAAGTCAGTTCTCTAAATCAGCAAGAGACCCTTCCAACTGATATTTACAGAGTGATCAAAAACTATAAAAAGTGGCAATCATAAAAGAAGCTTAAATTATAAGTCTCAATTAAAAAAAATTAAATTACAAAAGGGGCCCTTCCGTTTAGTTACGGTAAGTGCACAAGCTGGATAGGGCCATACCAGCGATATAAAAATGCATATATATCAGCAATGAAGTCATAAATCAGCATTAAATGCATCGTCAATTTATCTTAGCCGTCCTTCCTCTACAATAGCGCTTATGGAGTTGTCGATAAATTGATTTTTGCGTAACAATCTGCACCCCCTTATACAAAGTATAGAGTTCCTCAGGAGCGCGAAGCTTATTTTAGTTCTTATGTAGTTTATAGATTCTGGATAGCTTTCTTGTCGTTTTTCACTTAGTTTTTCGGCCAATCGCTGCATCGTCCGCGTGGCTGTTGGAGCAGCGCCACCGGTGCATCCAAAAATTAGCGGGCCGTAGCTACTCTGCTCTACGTTTAAAATTCTTTGCTGATATTTGGAGTTCTTCAGCGTTTCGTGGTATTTGTATGCATCCTTATGCAGTTTTCGCGATGTTTTGGCATGGGGCTTGAAAATTTTCACATCAAAGAAAGCGCGGCTGAATCGTGAACCCCAGAGTCCGTTTGCCTTAATGTCAAGTCGTGCCTCATCTTCAGTTGTAGTTGAATTGTTGACAAAGCTTTCGCCTTGCAACGGCTGAAGTTTCAGCTCAATCTCGACGTCATGGCAAACCTCGTTCATGAGGTTGGCGAATGTGTCTCTAATTTCATTGTGTCTTATGTGTGTGTAACCACCCTTCGCACAGTGAAGCGCATGTTTCAAGTTAAAATCAGCACCACATGCACATGTGAGTGGGGTTTTGGTAGGCTCCCATCCGTATCTTAAGTATATACCATCTCTGAACTCTGATTTATTCAGGTTGAAGTTGTATCTGCTCAGTGGTAGAGTATTGAGCCAGTTAGAGGCTCCCTTTTCAGAGGCCAGGTCGATTGCGTATTTATCTGTTTCAATTAAGGAGTTAATGAAGTTTGTTTTTTTTTCAATTTGCTCTATCAGTTTTCAATTTTTTGATTTTCGTTCATATTTTTTCTTGCTGTGTTACTGCTGTAATTGGATCTTGAGATTCCAGTACTAGTGATGTTTCCTTAGACTATTCTAGGTAGCTTTCATGATCGGATGGCACCTTGATGTTAAGTCCGCCCATTTTAAGGGGTAAGGAAGATATCTCACGGAATTGGGGGTTTAAATTGTCTTTACCGACTAGGTTAGGTAATAATTGTTCTTTGATAATACTTTCACATATTTCTAAGTTTTCCATAGTGTTAGGCGTTGTCCTGGCAAAAAATGAAAGCTTTTCTTGAACTCCTTTAGTATAGCAGGCATAAGCGTTTTGAGGGGAGGTTTCAGCGATTTTCGTTAGTTTTTTCAAAGTTTTGATTTGCTCATTCTGTTGAAATTCCAGGAAGTTTTTACATTCAGATTCTGTTCCTATAACTGAACCAAGCACTCGGGCTCCTGCCTTTATAGTGATTCTTGTATTTGCGAAGATTTTCTGAGTTTCACCGAGTTTTTCATCCTTGACAATGAGTTGGCATTTGGATGCTTTCACGTGGTAGCCGAAAAATTTACCCAGTGATATAATTTTATCGAGGACGGTTCGTAGATTGCTTAATTTACCGACTGCGTTTCCGTCGTCTGGGTACCATTTCTGGGTTACATCGTCTACTGATAAAAGTTTTATGAGGGGTGTTATGGCTAGACCGTACATGGCCATTGCCAGTGGATCCCCCTGGGTTGTCCCTTCTTGAGAGTAGATTGATTTTTTGTTAACGAATAGTTTAGATGGATTGGAGTAGGAGTTCTTAATCGCTGTTAATAGGGAAGGGCAGGTGTTTTCGATGTTTTTTAATGCCAGCTGCTTTCGGTTCAGCGAGTTGAAAGCGTTTTCGGCATCTATCAGTAGAACAGCATCGGCGGAAGTTTTGCTGTATTGATCTCTTAGCGTGTGGATCGCATATTCGATGCCACATTTTTGTCCTAGGCAGAGTTGGTAGTTTGAACCGAGCGACATGAGTTCGTTTTTTAGGCATTTAGTTATTGTTCGCCCTATTATCCTACGCATAACTTCTCCTATGCCAATGGGTCTTACCCATGGATTCTTATCTAAGGGTAATAATCTGCATGCGTTATATGTTTCTATTAGTTCTGGATTTAGTTCTTCTGTGGCCAATTTTTTTTGGCAATTTTAGCAATTGATTTTGAAATTTCAACTGATTGTTGCCCGAAGTGTGTTAGAATACGTCTCCATTCATTTGTATCGAGGCCAAATGGTCCATGCGATCCGTGCGTTCTCATGGCTGCCTTCGTTATGTTGACCGTTTATCTGATCAAATATCGATGGATGGAAAGGAATTGTTTCGTTTGAGACTGGTGTAATATAGTTCTCATCAATTGGTTTAGATGGTGGGTGTTTCTCTATGAGAGTCTGTTCTACTGTCTTACCTTTGACAATCTCGTCAAGCGAAAGAATGCCTTTAGATGTGTCTGTTAGTTTTGCAATTGCGCTTGATATTTTTCCAGTACTCATTAGTTTGTTGAACTGTTGTGCTTCAGTTTCAGTTTTTCTTCTACTTCCTTTCAACAAGCGCATTTGCAGCGCCTTTCCTTCAATATATAGTCCATCCAGGTCTCCGTTTTGCCATTGCTTAAGTCTCCTTGCTATTGTTTTGGAAAAAGATCCATCAATTTCGGACTTTGTTTTGCACAGTAATAAGTGTAGAAAAATCATTGCTGCGTGCATTGCGAAGGTATTTTCGTTGTTTTCTATTAGGCTGTTCAAAGTTCTATTGAGGGTTTCAATGAAGTTATAACCAAATTTATTTTTTGACAAGATCATAAAGACCGGTTTCCAGTGGACCATTTCGGTGTATATTTTCCTGGTGGTTTCTATGAGTTCTGGACAGGGGTTTGACCATGGGTCTTGTATTGCTCTAGGTTCTATAGTGGAAGACTCTCCTGTGTTTTGTGAGTGTGGGGCAGTGGAAGGGTGAGGGTGCATTTGGGGGAGCAAGGTTGTAGCTAGGGTTGGGCGGTTGCATTCATGCTTGTCGTTAGCTGAATGAAATTGGGAGGTGCAGCGATGACAACTGAAATTGTCATAGTGATCACTGCTGCGGGCTAGGCCGCTGCATTTTACATGCATGTAGCCCGGGCATGTGAAGCACCAAACACCTCCGCCTCGCAGGCTGCTTTTACAAATAAGGCAGTGTGTTTGAGTAGCCATTTTAGGAAGGACGGCGGTGTCAAGTTAGCGAGAGAATTTATAGATTAAATTTGCAAGAAAATTTGTAAAGAAATCATTACTGTAGAACAAGAAATGGATGCCATCACGGCAGAACATTTGAGGGGTTAGATTTAGGTTGAGGTTAGGCGAAACAATAAGTGTATGGGGGTGTACAAATCTATTTATCAAATTAAACAGCACATGATTATGAATATAAATTTTGCGGTTTACTTCGGAATTATTACAGTTCTGAATTGTTTTGGGGATGATCAGTCTCTTGGGCTGAAACTTATTTGTGACGAGGTTAATCAAGTTTTTCCACTGCTGTTCTAATTCTTGTGGATGCAACCTGTTGTCCTTGTATCCAGCAACTATTGTTACTGTATTTAGGCGCTTTGGTCTGTATTGTAAAACTGTTTCAAACAGATCATGAAGCGTTGTGCCGCGGTAGGAGTGAATTGTTGATTTTACTAGAGCTGGTTTGATATATTTGGTCCTTGAAGTCCCACATAACTAGTTTCTGTGAGAACTCAGGGATGCGTCTTGCCTGGAATTGCGGCATCAAGCTGAAACACAGTCAACTGGGGCGAGAAAGGAAGCTCTTTGGGGTTATTTATGAATACTTTCATTTAGGGTTTAAAATTGCTAGGCGATGAAAAAAAAAGAGTGGTACAACCTGACGTCGATTTGGAGGTCGATTAACCAGCTCACTCCTTCTTGCGTCTAGTTACGCCAGGGAAACTTCACTCGCCTACGGCTGGGACGGCGAGATTTGGTAAGATAACCAGAAGAGGAAGCCCAGCGCGCATATGATATGAAAACACACAAACGGTAAATTTGAACAAAGAACTATTTAATAAGTTTATCACAACAATTAGGCTAATAGTAAAACCTACCATCTTAATACATTGGGAAACCTATTCCCTATCTTAATTCATTGGGAAATCCATTCCCTATCTTAATACATAGGTGGCTGACCGGATACTCTATAGCCTATGTTAATACATGGGGGTCAGCCACCCCCCGGGCTGAGTTGCTCCAACCTATACTTCTCTCGCATTCAAACCCCTTTGATCTATTTGTTCGTTTCCCGCGAAAACATGGACACAAACCGTTTTTGTCATTCATTGGCCATTGGCTGTATCTCCATTCCCACCGGCAAAATCGAACTCATTGTAACATTCGCCCGGAAGATACATATCGACGGATAACAAAACTAAGTCTTAAGACGACTGGCCAGCGTCTAAACAGAGCTTTGCATGTTTTTCACCGTCTCTACCAAGCCAGTACTTTTCGGTGGTCTTTCTTACATCGGGTCGACAAAAACGTTACTATTCTCCGGCTTCGACCAGAACGCTCAAATTAACTGAATTACATGCAAAATTAGTGAGCTCATGGCTGGGTCTCTGTATCCCCAGACCACGAGGTCACTCCTAAAAATAGGGCTACTACTTATTATATTACTATGGTTTTTGTTCAGTAGATAAAAATCATCATCTCCATCGAAGATGGATCAACCCTTTCCCCCAACTCCTAGCACCTCATCCTTGTCAAAACTAATCAAAATATCAGTTAAATTCAAGTCAGGACATGACAGGATGCTAAAAGTTTATGTGAGTTAATAAAAGTTTCCGTCCCGAGACCCTTCCGGATTCTTGAATCCGCTGAATCAAGCTCCTTACTCTTGATTTCTCGCTAATCCGGAAGGCTGGTTCTCACCCTTCACCGTTGTTGGCAACGGCCTTGCAACTATTGTAGCAGCACAATAGTTGCAACTCGGAACGTTCTCTGCTATTCTGTAGTTCGTTGTCGTTTTCCAATCTCGATTTTCGTACTGTTCGCAATCGCAGATAAAAGTTGTTCTGTTTTTTACTCGCTTTTTTGTTAAAAATGGCCGTTTCAGCATTTCTCAGAAACGTGACGTCATCATTCGAATTTTTGAAAATTTAAAATACTAGAATATTCTAGCCCTCACCGTTTGGCTAAACGTTCCAATAACGTCGCTAATCCTTCGAAATCATCAACTCGGAAGGCTTACTGCTCAAAATTCGAATCCTGCATAAATTGCATTTTGGCCATTCTGGTCGAATGTCACACATGAACACTTTCAGCCATAGATTTGCCAGAATTACAGCGAGGAAAGCGCCCATTGCTAGACCATCAACTTGCACATACCATGAGTCATTACACTTGAAAATTATTTTGCTGGCCGCCATATTGAAAAGCCTTTTATTGATTGCTCTTTGGATTTCAGGAGCAATTTCTGGCTGTACAGTTTTTGCAAAGCATTTTCAACTGCTTCCTTCAGGGGAACATTAGTATACAAACTTTTCACATCAAGAGATATTATGGTTTCAACCGGATCTTGAGCAACGTATTCAGTTGTTTCTCTGGCATCTTTAGAATTGGTTTCTATATTGGCGCCATCGATATTGTCAGAAACTTTGCAAGCGTTTTATTAAGATTCTCATACGATCTGCTCTTTTTAGGGTCCCAGAGGACGAGGTTTTTTCGGTTCAAGCTGTACCTAATTTTCAACTTAGTAGTTTAAGTTGAAAATTATGTACAGCTTGGTCCGAAAAAAACCCGTTCTTTGGTACCCTTAACTTCGAAAAGTCCGGTGTTAGATTGTTTTTTAGACATGTTCTCAGAAACTTCAGTCTATGTACAAATACTTCTAATTTCCTAAAGAATTTTAAATTCAATGTGGTTCTAGTAACATCGGGCCGACAAAATTGTTACCGCTTGAAAAGTATCAGCCAACCCGCGCGAACTATTTTAGTTGCATGTGAAAATAGTGAGATCATGGCTGGATCTCTGTATCCTCAGACCACGAGGTCAATCCTGAAATTAGGAATGATACATTATTACTATTAAGTTACTATTTTACCATTGTCTTTGCATAGTAGAGAAATCATCCCATCCATCGGAGATGGACCGACCCTTTCCCTCAACTCCTACCTTCTCATTATCTGAGAAAGAAATTGGATAATAATAATTTCAGTTCAGGACATCCTAGGAAGCTAAAAGTTGTTCAAAAGTCAGTTCTCTAAATCAGCAAGAGACCCTTCCACCTGATATTTACAGAGTGATCAAAAACTATGAAAAGTGGCAATCATAAAAGATGCATAAATTATAAGTGTCAATCAGAAAAGATGTTTGATGTTCAAAGAGTCCTAGTTTCTTCGAATTTGTTCGAAATGTTTCTCTTTTTTTGAGGAGATAGGAGCCGATAAGGTATACTGATTAATTTTAGATATGTTGCAATCCATTAAAGTAGTGGAGCAATTTAGGTGTTGCCGATTAGTAAGTTGGTCAGTGAATACAAGATCTTTGTCTACGTTGGCGGAAGACGCTACAAATGATGACTATAACTGGGATCCCAAAGCAGAAAAAAGCTCAACTTCTGCCAGGTTCAATTTAATACAAGTTGTATTGTCAAATGGACAACCAAGAAATCTAGAGCAATCGTTGTATTGCTAACCCTGGATGTTAAAACAAATTTCGGATGGATTTTTTTCTCAAGTCTTTTCATTCTAGATGTCTTGCAATTAGCTAGCGGCATTAATTCGGAATACACTTTTTTCAATGGCTAGTATTTTTAGAGAATCACTTAACCCTTTTGAATCAAATCTGAGATTCGCTTAAAATAGGTCCTGGACAGCATGCCGACGGGTCTGCACTCCGAATCGCAAAATATAGATTTCACGTCAAAAATATTTTCTTAAAGTCCCGAGTGGACTTTCCTTTACATTCATTCGCATTTTCGTATGTGTTTTGAGCCTTGAATCGTTGTTCAGGATTGATGAAAAACAATACATTTGTGAAGGCGTTTTTCTGCTGTACAATTCAATCATTTAAAATCCATCAGATGCAACGAGTGATCCCTAAATAATGCATTGTCACGATATTATCCCTAAGCTGTGCATTGTTTTCATGACTTAACTTGCCCGGAAACTTAGGTGTCGTCTTGAAGTCCCGTCAGGTTGTTGTCCTAGGTTGTTGAGCATGCCCTTTAAAAAATAGTCTTGTAATTACCCTTGTGATACGAAGGGTATTGCAATTGGGTACTAGACTTTTTTCCCGTAAACAACTTTGTCCACAGGACTCATTTCTTGAGTTACCCTCAAGCGTTCCCAGCTTCAAATCTCAGCGTTCCCAGTCCCCTTAGGTAACAAATTCGCCTGGTGCGGCAAAGGTCGTGGGTTTGAATCTGACCGTGACCTTTTTTTTTTCAATCGGGAAATTTACCGTTTAAAAAAACGGTCGGCTTATCGTTATCTGCTTAAGTTTTGTCGGCCTAAGTGCCACTTCGTAGAAATGGTTTTTCTTGCTATGCGCAATTTACATTGTAATTTCTCTTGGTGTTTTGATTTACTTGTTTGTAATTTCTTGACTGGTATATTTTTTTTTCTTGGTTTTTTTTTCTGTCCAAGTGGTTTCGGCTTATATTTTATCGGCTTAAAGACCTAATGTTAGTCATTTCAAGTGAAACGTAGTTTTTATGCTCATATCTGGATTGCTTGTTTTGCTAAAATCTTAATAATAATTGGTTTCGGCCTATTTTATATCAGCCTAATGTCATGTTATTGCGTCTGTCTACCGGTGAAATAAAATTGTGTGTGCCTGCGTGTTTTGAGGTTTATGGAGACATCATTTTTTATTAGTTTTAAAATTTTTGAGTTTATTTTCGGCTTTTTTTTGGCGTATTAGTTTCGGCCAATATTATATCGGCTTAGCGGCCTCATAATGGTTAATTCGACAAGTATAGAAAGTTTTTTGTTTGTGTGGTGAGAGCGAGGGGGACTTTCAACTTTTTATAAGTCTTAAGTTTCGTTGATTCGTTCTTCGGCCTAAAGGGTATTTTGGGTTTTGTTACCGCTTGGTAAGTTTTCTTCCGATTCTAAATTCACATTCAATTGCCTTGTATTAATTTTTATCGCAAGTGGCGCGAAGCTCAGCTTCGCCTCTGTTTCGAAATTGTTTTTAATGTTGGTTTTGAATTGTAATTTTAGCGTTCTTATCTACTTACGCTTTTTCAGTCTGAAAAGGCCTCGGGTTATATGATATCGGCTTAAATGTATCGTTGTTCGTTGAGCGAAAAGAATTTCTCATGTGTGTGATTTTGTTGAGGGGAGACTTAAAAATATTTAGGGTTTTGTAAATTTTTATGAAGACATTTTATTTTTGGCTCAACGATTGTACGCTCGAGTTTTTTTGGCTTTGTTACAGTTTCGTTAAAGTTTTCGTATCTGAAATGCTTTTCTCTAAATGAACTTTCTTAAGGACAAATAAACATACACATAAAAGTTTTGTGAGATCTAGTTTTTTTTTTTCAATTTTTGACTCATTTTCTGTCGGCTAGTTTGTCATGCTATGTTTGTGTTGTATCGCTGTTGGTACGAAACTCCGATCCACATCTATCTAAAATTACACTTTTTCAATTTGAAACTTTTCGCAAACCTTTAGTGTTGCCTGACGAATTCGGACAAGGTAGCTTAATTGGCTGATTTTAGTTCAGGCGTAAAGAAAAGGACAATAGTTGACAGCAAGCTGAAAGAAACTCAGAATACATTGCTTCATGAATCTCTGAAATTTGTACCTGAGCATGGATGGAGTTCTAAAAGTATAGCAGAAGCGGCTAAATCTCTGGAATTGTCTCCTTCAATTATGAATTCTTTCTCCAAATCGGAAGATGCAGCGCTAGTGGCGTTTTTCCTTAGTTTGAAAATGGTCGACTTGGAGAACTTCCTGATTGCGTTGCGATCCCAACATCTAGAAGAACATGGTCGAGTTAAGATCAATTTGTTTGTTTTTGAAGCTTGCAAGGAAATGATGTCGTACGTGCTACCATACTTAAAACATTGGTCATCGGCACTCTCAATTTTGGGTGAGTTGTCCTTCGTTTAATGTTTCTGAGAATAAACTAACAGTTCAAGTGAAACCAAAATATAGCCATATCTATCAATTGTCTATGATATTTTGAAAGTCTGGCCTCGATATCTCACCATGTTAGAGTTTTGTAAACTTTAAGTTTTCGAGATATGAATGTTCTTTTCAGGTCATTTTGTACGAGAATTACTTATCGATATCATAACTTTTTTAATAATCCAACTGTAATAAATCCAAAATAACCCATTGTTCTGCACGTTTCATGAAATACTATTTTAGGACGTTTTTTGAATACTTTACTATAAAACTGCTTGTTACCTGAGCACTGAAGGGCACCCAAAAGCAGTTGAAAATTTAAAGATTCTCATATAATTAATATAATATTTTTTTGAAAAAACGGAATGTTTATGCTTGGGGTGTTTTTTTATTCAGCCAATTTTTGGCGGTCGAAATTATAGTTTTAAACAAACTTTTTTTACCCCATCGAAGATATCGACTCCCTGAAATCAAAGGTAAAAAGATATTTAACCTGCGATCATTTTTTGCAAAGTTATGGGAGTTGCCAATTTGGCCATGCTCTGGACTAATTTATCGCTCTTTGAAGATTTTATTTATAATGCTGTTAGCGTAACAAGAAGTATTTTGATTGGCGGTTCATCCCGCCCAACAAAATTATTCTAAATTGAATTGAGGCTAGCTAATCGGTCGTATCAGTTTCGCACGACTCAAATTTTTACAATTGATTTTTGTTATTGTCCAAAATTTGTAGTTTTTTGAATATTTTTCCCCAAAAACTATTCGATATGGATTAAGGGGCAGTCGGAACATTCAGGGCCTTGCCCTTTATACGAGCAATCTTGTTTGTGTTTATAATTTTTAAAAAAATCATTTTTGGTTGTTAAATTTTTTATATATTTTTTTTCGATTTTAGACTGCATGGGGTTCAAAATATAGACTGGATTGATGAGCCTCTTTAATTTTTCAGTTTTGATTTGGGTTCGGAAATTGAATACGATCTATTAATGTCGAAAAGTTTTAGAATTTCCAATACTTTTTGTGCTTGCGATTAGCAGGCGTAATCAAATCAGATTACGGCGGCATACATTCATTTCATACTCAATGACTGATTCTGCACATTTGGCGGAGAGGTAATGCCCATGCTTGGAACGACAAAGGCTGTGGGTTGTGGCAAGAGATTACTTTTTACTAACTGCAAATTTTTGGCATTAAGACGACTTACTTTTTAGATTGCAGTGTAAAAATTTTACCTAATAATCCAGCTCTCTCAAATAGGGTTAGTTTTATCAAAAGGTAACAATCATAAAGTATTCATGAAATTCAACGAGCTTTAAGGTCATCTATTATTTATTGTGAAGTTCCAAATTTGAAGTTTTTCAAAAAACAATTTGTTTTTTTTTTTTTTGCAGTCTCTCGTTAATTAACACTTTTCCAACTGCTAAATGAATATTATTAGACCACTGTAAAGTGTGAGCTGTAATTGAAAATATAAAGTACGTATTATTTTTCTGTTTTCAAAAACTCTGCATATTGCATTTTTAAAACTGCGATGTTGGCTGAACCTTTTTTAATATTCATTTTTATTAGAGTTGTTTGTTTACTTTATATGTTATATGCCATAGGCTCTCTATTTGATTTTGATACCGAGCTAAATTAAACTTGATCTTAGATTGAACGTGATTGATGTTTTGCTTCAGCTGAACCGTCCAACGCAATCGATACTCTGAAGCATCACTCAGAAATGGTCGACCTTATTTGGCACTATGCGGGAGATACATCGCTTGATTACAACTGGTATTCGAAACGCATATTGCTCTCAGGGGTAATCAATTCCACCCAACTGCATTTGCTACAGGATAATTCAGAGAATTTCGAAGATACGTGGATTTTCTTGGAATCTAGGCTGAAGGACGTGGCTAGTATTGGCATGGGTATAAATAATTTCAGAAAGAGTTTGTCAAAATTGGCCGCAATAGGCGAAGTGGCATCAGAGACAGGAAGAAATCTTGCAGGGGTTCCAAATACCAACAGATGAGATTCAGATTCCGTTCGATCAAAAGCGAAACCTTTTTTCAATAGCTGAAAAATTTTGTTTAAAAATAGATTAAATTCGTGAAATGAAACTAAGTTCTGATATAACCGATTTAATATTTTTTCAAAATAACAGGAAATTCGAATGTTCTCGAGGCATTTTTTTCGTTTTTCTATACCGATAAAACTGGCATGCAAAATCGATATGACATCAACTAGTTGTAATCCGTTCGATGCAAAATAGTTTGACCGCAGTTAACAGATAGTTCGGTTATCGCTGCGAAGATGGAATAAATCCAAAGTTTTCTTGTCCCCTGTCTCTCAGGCTGTGTGGTCTTTTCGGTTGAAGGTCATTGACCTCTGGCTGTTGTTTCGGCTCTGTAATAGGAGGCAGTTGTCGATTAGGACTAAGGGGAAGACTCGATTGTTGTTGCTGTTGTTGAGCTGGAGCTGTAAAGCCAATGGGATTCAAAGGGGGTGGATTTGAATAAGCCATCGGTTGAGGTGTTTGCCAGCTAGGCTGTTGTTGTCCGAGTGTGGAGTATGATAATGGTTGCGGTTGAGTCGGCTGCATGTTTGCGTATTGGATGTGGGCTGTAAAGTGTGGAGATGAAGTGTTTTGTTGCGTTTCTGGGAGTTGATGATGATGCCCATATGCCGCGGCACCCATGTACTGCTGCTGTATCAAAATGAGAACGATGTTTTATTTTAGTAAATAAATGGCACCAGAGTTCCTAATCAGCTACGCAGTTTACATTAAAATTTGCCCAGCCCTTCTTTCTCCCCATTTACTACCTTACTAGCATTGATTGAGAGTGAAAAATTTGGATTATGGTAGGTTTTTGGAAATGGATTATGATTTAATACCATTTTAAGGCCTGTTCAGTGGTAACTCAAGTCTCAAAAAGACATTTCGAAAAAGTCTTTAAGTATTAAAAAAAGAGTCCGAATTTTTGGCAATTCAAAAATAAATTTGACCAAGGGTAGCTAATTTTTCTTCATTGTAACGATGAAATTTATAGTGGTATATAACAAACATATGAATGTGCTTATGGTTGGAACATACTGTGATTTTTGCACTGCAGTCCGCTACTTTTGTTTGTGTTTTTATTAATTTTCATTAATTACTCGGCAAGATCTTCAAGAGTAGTTTAATTATGTCAGTTGAATCATTTATGATGCTGCTGACATGCTGTTACACGAATATTCAAATTTAACTTCTGCATATTTGTTTTGCTGGTGCATGTTGTATCTAGTACTCAAACTATTGTCTGTATAGTAATAGAGTTTCCCTACTTTTCAGAGCCGATCAACGTAGTTCAGGCTCTTATATAGGTCGCGATGTTTTTTTTTCCGCCGCTTTTTTACGAAAAGTCGGCTCTTTTTCCTCCCCCCCCCCCACCTGCAAATTTTTGCTAGTGAAATTTTGTTCACGTTATCCGAAGTTTATGAAAATAGGCATGCAAACTAATTAGGCCATGACAAAGATATTTGGTCTTCATGTTTAACCTTGCAAAATCCCTTGTTACACCATAAACCTGATGCTAATGTGAGGTGGGGGAGAGGAGGAGGGAGGAAAAAAAGCCGAAAAGTCTTGCAATTTGATCAGGCTCAAATTTACTTAATCGCGGTTTGACCTTTGATTTCTTTTAAGTTCAGTTCATTTTCTTAGGAATTACTTTTTCAGATATCCCATCGTAATAAAAGTGGACTATTGATCCAGTTTTCTCAAATTGGGTTTATTTTATTGAAAAAGTGCAAATCAAAAATTGTTTATAGAAATTCAAAGAGCCTTAAAGGCATCTCATTTTTGAAATCCGAAAGCTGAGATATAAAAAAACCAGTCAATTTTTTGCTGTTTCATTGCGTTTATTGACTCTTTTCAAACTGTCTGCTGGCTATGTTTATTTTACGCAGATGAGTTGTCGGCTTCATGGTTGTCGACTTAAGCTCTGTCCTTCTAATTTCCGAATTATGTAGTCCCTTTTGTAAGCGCTACTTATGTATCTATGGTGGATCCTATGTAGGCGTTGCATGCATTTTCCAAAATGATTTTTTTGCAGTATGAGTTTCAGTTTTTTGGCTGTCCGCTTTAGTTTTGTCGGATTGTGTACCTGTGTTTTTTCTAAAATTTTCCGGTTGTACCTCTGAGATAAAAATGACTTTGGCACCAATATTGGAATGCTCAAAATCAACTCCACATGGACCTCTTTGAAAATGTTAATAATTTTAAACTTGAGCGTTTTTCGTTTTTCTAACTTTTTCGTTTTATTCGTAACTTCGTTCGATGTTCTTTTTGCTAATTTTTTACGGCTATGTGCTATTAGCTTATAATTGTTGTATCGCAACTTGTGCGAAGCTCATCTGTCTCTGTGTAAATGGCCATAATGGCCATCCTTTTTTCGTAGTATGATTTTGCTGTGACATAAAACAAAGTGGTGAGTTGATCACAACTTGTTGATCATACCTTATTGTTTCTGATTTCAATATTTTGCTTTTATCTGTTCGCTAGTTTTCTGTCTCCGAGGTTTTTCATTTTTTGCAAGAATTTTCAATTGTTTCATGTTTTCTGTAACCTGTATGATTCAGTCTGTTATTTATTGCAATGCATTGTTATTGAAATGTGTTTCACAAGTGATGCAAATCTTTGCTTCCCCTTTTCGATGAGAAGGAGTTTCCCGTGTCTACTATGTTTGATGACATAAGCCAGTCATCCTTAGCTTCGGATAGAAGCGGCTAATTTTAGAATTAGTAAATGGTAAAATATATTCAGGAATTAAAAGCCAATTTATTGGTCTAGACATTCGGTTGTTTCCGTATCAGATATCAGACTAAGTATGTAGCTAAGTATTGAATTTGCGCAATCAGTCAACTGTATTACCATTGAAAAGGATGTCTAGACTAAGCGAATAGCGAGTTTTCTCTGTTTATCTAACCGTATCCTTAAGTCAAGTAAGTTCATTAAATCTGCTAAATATAGAAAAATTGCTGAGGTCGAGCAGCGCTACTATAGTATTCAATTTGATATTAAAGTTTATATTTGTAACAGAATATAAAATGGGATCTTAGATTTTGACACCAGTCAATTTAACTCGGTATTTTTTTAAAACCTAACAGATAATGAAAATTAACTGGACAATTTTCAGCCCTGGTTCGCGCTCAAAAACATTCTTGATTTGAGAAAAGTGGCTCAGAATTTTTGCCTTTTAAATTTGAGATTTGTGAAACACTATAAAAAAGAAAGATTTATCTTTAAATGAAATTTTGTTTAATGCTTTTTTATGGAGAGTCATTGGATTTTCATCCGCGTTTCCGGACCTTTATCATCTTCTTAACGAACGAGTGCTGCAAACTCTTATTATTTTCAGGCCAACTGCTTTGCGATTTGCCACGAATGTAGGGAAACTTACTTGACTGTAATAAGGATATGTATCTGGATGTTGTTGCGGCTGTTGTACTGTTGGTTCTTGAGATATGCGATTCTTCCGAGCTTTGTTAGCCGCTCTCTCCGCAAGTTTTGCCGACTTCTGGCTACAATTTAACAGAACTAACAGTCACTAGTGTTTTTTTGTAAGGTGCAAACGAAGTTTTATTTTTTTGGGCTTATTATTTTTTGGGGTAAAATTTTGTTTAAGAATTTTGTGGAAAAAATTGCACCAGATTATTTCTGGTGAAATGCTAAGCTACTTTTGTACACCTCATTTTTTTGTCTAATCTTAACCCATTTTGAGAAAAACGCGTTTGAAATTTCAATTTGTTCTTTTTGTCCGCATAATTGAAATCATCATTGTAAAACTATGTAATTGAGGGATCACCTGACAATGTCTTCTTAGAATTGTATGAATGGTTGATATCTTTTGGGTTATGGGCCATGAAAAACTCGTTTTAGCAAATGCTATACCTGTTTTTCTTTGCACATTTGCACGCTGCTGTAACAATAGACATCACAAACATGATTCCAACCCCCACCACTAATCCTAGGGCAATCAAAAGGTAGTCATCTGCATCGTCATCATCATCTTCCTTGTGACAGCAGCGACGCTTTTTGATGTCTTCGTCGTAGCAGCACTCTTGGTTGAAGAAACATTCACTATCCACCGTACAAGATTGACTTTCGAATAGTTTCTCCTAAATTTTTAAAATCTGTCTTAACGTTTGAACCTGCGTTTTAATCAGGAGGGGGACTTTAAGTGTTTTTTTTAAATCCATTAATACGATAAACATGTTTTGAACAATCATTTGAAGAAGTTAATTGTTCATACAAAAAAGTCAATTTTCCTGCTTTTTCCACATCCAATAGCAAGGAACCATTGGTTGTTGTTGTTGTTGATGTTGTTGATGTAGCTACACTAAGTTTGGCTCCGAACTTCCGATTGCATTGGAGAGATGGATTCTGTTTGGAAGATAGAGAGAGAGAGAGAGAGAGAGAGAGATAGATAGAGTGTGTGTGTGTGTGTGTGTGTGTGTGTGCGTAAGGGATTTTCCGTTGGTCGTCTTGTAAAATCTATCACTGCAGTTCCCCAGGGTCTCTAACGGCGAAACCGACGTAAAAGGGGAACCACCTTTTCCAGTGATAGCGTCCTTGTGCTGGTGTCGGCGGAGAACCGAGTGAAACTCCCGTTACGTGGAGTTATGTGATCAATTGCAGATGTTTGGCAGCTTCTTCGGGATTCTCCCGTAGGTTGTCGATGGTAAGTGCTGTAGGGTGTACCCAAAAATTAAACAGATGGTCAAGGGTGTGCGATCCTGTATAACAACTTGGGCAGACGTCAGGTATGTTGTTATTTAATCTATGGTGGTAAATATTGAGGTGGGTTGAGTACCCCGAGCTAAGTTGTGCTAGCGTACATCTGGTTTTCCGGTCAAGTTCGTTTTCATTAGCTGATGTTATTGGTGGAATTCTGCCAAGTAGCTTAGATTTCTTGTTACGGTTTTTGATCCCGCAAACATGATCAAGCTTAGAGATGCTCTCCTGGTTGTTCGTAAGCAGGTGTTCATTTCCGGGTTTGAACTTAAGTTCGATGGTGGACCTGATGTTCCGGTTGTACCATTTGCAGTGTGGTGATCTGCTCTGTTAAAAGTGTGGTGATCTGCTGGTCATCGCAAGGAAACATAGGTCATCGCAAGAGTCGGAAACTGTCACTCTAGCGCGCCAGTAGCCCCGACACCGCAAATCAAGGACTTAACTACATCCACCAGATCTATGTGAAAACCCAGGCGAAGACCTTTTGACCACCAGGCAGTAAGTGTCACTTTATGATAACTTTCTCAGAAAAGGTGCATACTGTAAGGCTGTTCATAGCCAAGATAATAAGTGACATATTGAAAACAGTTGTCGTTCACTGAGCAATTTAGTTCACTGCAACTTCATTATAATTTATCTCGGCACTAACGGTGGGCCAGAAGATTGAAGGCGTAGAACACGTTCGAGAGAGCCATTTAACTTCTTTCGGACAGCTTAAGCATGAACGCGTCTGGCGTGTTGTCTGAGAGTAACGGTTCGGTATAACACTTTCTGCATTTCGAAACCGGAAAGAATGTTTTGCCAATAAAATAGCAATATGAGCATTGCATCCGTAAACATGAACTGTTAGTACTATGACAGGGTAGATGGTTGGCGAAGACCATCCATCTATCGCCAGATTAACGCAATGACCTTCGGCTAAATTCAGAACTTTCAATTTTTTTTCTCGTGAACTTCATTCAGATACGTTGCTACAAAATCATGTCTGTCTGGGATCGCTGTGCCGGGTCGCAATACGTCCACAAACTTTTAAAATTGCCTGTTATCAACTGATGGGAATAATGCATTTGTTGCTATGAAAGACCCTGTCAGTAGCAAGTTGATTTCGTGTTGCTTGACGTTTTAGGGGATCAAGTGATCTCCCTCCTTCCCACAACGAACAGAAACGCACGGAAAATGCGAGAGTAAATTTGCGGCAAGGCGGAAGGTAAAATTTGCGACATCAAAATTGTGTCACCGCTAGCTCATCTTAAAATCGATGTATTTCTAATTTTGTTTCAAACACGTTTTTTTCTCTTTAAACTGTTTTGTATTTATTTTTTTTTTAATTTGTTTGAAACAAAGTCCCTCATCCTGATTTTGATCTGGTCTGAAAAAATTTCCGTTGTAGATTTTTGCCAGATAGCTTTATTGATTTTTGTATATTTAGGTTGGTCTTTTGGAACTTGAAGTCAAATACTCTGAGGGCGAAGGGCGAAGTCAAAAATATTGAAGTATGCAATAGATCCAAGATTTGAAGTACGTTTCTGTTGCTGTTGTAATTATTCCATGAATAGGAGAAAAATTATAGGAGCGGTCTGTGTAGTTTTGGATCATCTTGAGGCAAATGTTTTATATTTTACTTTTAATGTTTTCGAGCTTTTTGTTATTATACAGCTAACATGCATATGGCGAAGTTGTTACATCTCCGCCTCTGGATCGAAAGGTCAGATGATCGAAACAAACAATTGTCCGTGCTCATTGCTTTTGGGTGAGGCAACTTAACATAGCCTAGAAAAATAGCCAAAAAATGACATATATATCTGAAACAGGGGCACTGCAGCTGTTCTCCGTGAAGAGCCCAACAGCTAGTCTATTGTTCCTTTCCCTTGTGTGTAAATCGCCTAAAAATTAGTTTGCCTTCGAGTCTCTCACTTTTCCTGTGCAGCACTCTCCTCGTTCGCAGCAGTTTCCAGTGAAGCAGTGGTAGTCAAAACCACACCCTCCCCCTCCATGAGTCAGAATACGGTACTCTCCGGGGGTGCAGCAGTAGTCGGGGAACTCCTTCCCCATCCCCACCCCTGGACAACACTCCATGCGGTGTCCACACTGGGTAGCTGGGAAATCGTTTTGGACCCCACAGTCGTGGTGGTTGTTGTTGGCGTTGTACTGCTCAAATGTACAACAGGTACCTGTAGATAAGTCCAACTAAACTGAAGTTTTATTTTAAAAATTTATTGAAAAATTCGAGGTCTTTATTCGAGAAGGCAAATCAGTTTCGTTTCAGTTGCTAGTGTGTACTAATTAACTACTAACCCGGTTCAGTTATGTGAGTGTAGTAACTACTACTAACCATGCGTATCTCCAGTATTCCAGTTGCAACAGTATGACATAGCATTATGGGAACAACAGTCATCGTGAGCCACACACGGCAGTGTCTCATAATGGTCCCGAACACTCTTGTGACAACACAGTCCCCCTCCCCCACTAGAAGGATTCCAGAAGCTTCCGTCTTTGCAACAGACTAATTTCCCACTCGAGCCGCAGTCAGAGTCAAGCGAGCACTCCCAGTGGTAGTAGTCGGATGAATCGATACTTGAAATGCATTCGTAGTCCACGCATGTTTCAGCTCCCGAACAATCGCTGAAATAAATGTGCACCTTTTAGATTTCTGACTGTTGAACTACCTCAATTAGCTGAAATAAACCTTTATTTCCGTTGATCTAGAGGGATTACATAATCGCATAACATAATGGTAAACTGGGAAACGTCATGTACACAAAAACGAAACCAGGAAACGGAATTTTTAACGCATTTAACGGATTTTTTTTAACAAGAACATCACAGGGAAAGTTACAATTACGAGAACTATGTTTCATCTGCCTGTATTTTAGTGAAAACAAATGTTGGCTAGTTAAGTCAACTGACTTGAAAATGGAAAGCTTACTGCAAGCGAAACTTTTTCCGCTACCTCCATTTAGAACCAAATAGTAGAACCAAAAAAACCCTTGTAGATCTTAATCTCGCAATAGCCAGCAGAACAGCGCATATTTTACCCTTTTCATAGTATATGAGTGATCTTTTTTGCCCTCCTGCCATGAATTATCGGGATATACTTTCCAAAAGCAAAAAGTTTTAATCAAAGCAGCGAATAAGGCACGGAACCTGACCGCTGGAAGAGTGCAAACAGCAGGATTTTTCCAGCATCCATTTTGCCTCTTAATCCGCGCAAATGAAAGTCAAGTTTAAAATTCAAATTCAGTACAGTTTTTATTTGAGTTATTTGAAGATAGATCTCTAAGACTTGAAACGGTTGTTTTAATATAGCGTCATCTGTGAGTTCATAGAGAAGTTTATTTGTCCTCAACCTTTTATTTTAAGTTTGTCGGGATATCCACTTGCAACAAGAAGAGGTGTCTAAATAAAGAATGATGATGATGATGATGATGGGGTTGAAGCAAACCGGAATAAAATTTGAAAAATAAACCACTAATTTTTGTTTGTTTCTTGAAGCATTTAAGATTGAGTTTGATACATTTCGATTGCAAAGGCGTGGTAAAAAAAAACGTTTCTGTTTTTGAATGGCATCCAGTAACATTTGAACCCCTTTTATGTCCCAAGAAAAGAAAATACCCCCCTATAAAATAATAATTCAACGGTTAAAGACATACGGATTTTGTTTTATGTAACCAGACTCCCCCCATAGCCATAGCGCTGGGGATAGCTAAGCAGACGCAAAAGACTCACCCGTCTGTCTGACAGTAGTTTAAATTGGGTGAGCATACATCGTGCCATTTTTCTGTGAGCTCGCGCGCTGCCTCGTCTTCGATTGAGCTCAAAATGTTCTCAAAATCCGCGTCCATGATGTACCAATCTTCGTTATTATGACCTTGAAACCACTCACTCCACCAGTGAATATTTTCCTGCTCACCTGTAAAGAAAAGAGCTGCAAACGTTAAAAAATATCAAATTTATTGATGAACCAACTATTATCATCTATTTAAAGGTGCTGTTTGTGTACTGAGATTTTATTTGAGTTTCTTTACCGAAAAGAATCGTAACTGCTCGAATGCCAGCAAGAACCTAGTCGTGATTTAGCAGCTATTTTGTTAAGACAGCAATACACGTAATGCAAATCATGTTGAGATTTTGAAACCAGCTTTTTCATGTATGTGAAGGATTATTTTACTTTATTTTAACTTAATGATTTTAAAATCTCAAAATTCACCAAAATCCTAGACAAACTGTAAGTGTGTTGTAAATCCTAGAAATCCTTGAAGTGTGTTGCAATCGGGAACTCGACTTTTTTCCCGTAAAAAATAAATTGTTTTTGCTTTATTAATGAACCGTAACAAATTTTAGGTTTTCGCAATTGGCCTGGAAGTAAGGTGTTTTCTGTTGCACCCTATGGTTCTGGGGTTCGAGTCACGGCAGGACCTTGTTTTTTATTCAGGATATATAAAATTGAAATTATTATCCGGTAAACTTTGAATTGTCGGACTTTCGTTTGTTGGCGAAGGTGCCACGGCACAAATTTTTCTTTAGATGTAAGCAAGTATCATGGTAGTTGCAGGTATTGTTCATTTTAGTTTCACGGGTCACGGTTTTTTATATATAAAATCTTCTTTTTTTGGGCTAAACTGGTTTCTGCTCAAAGATCGGGTTTGTTTCCGCTTCGTAAGTTTTGTTCCAATGATTTTTCAAAATTCAAATGTCTTGCTTGGCATGTTTGCCTAGAATTCCTGTTTTTTGGTTTTTGCATAGTTTTTCTCAAAAACACAGATTTTCAAAAAAGGGTATCATTAGAAAGATCGCTTATTCTCCTGTGGGCAAGCATAATCCTCTAATCTCTTTTTACTTTACCCACTGTCAACAGCCTTCAAAAAAATCTGTGGGGCAAATATTTGACTCATATTTTTAAATTTTTTCGTTTCTCAAAAACCATCTTCCTACATTTAGACAGAACAGGTTGTGGAAAGCTCTCCTGCATACGTTACTACGCTCAATTTTTTTACACAAAATTTTTTGGCACACGGAAGTGTCAATTATTTGATTTTTGACCTTTTTCGAAACTTTCCTCGAGAACTAACCCCTCAAATCAGTATATTTCTTTACTGTTTGAAACTATTTGACTCGAAAACTACCGGAAGTGTCAATTAGTTGATTTTTGACCTTTTTTCAAAATTTTCCTCCAGAACTAACCACTCAAATCAGTTAATATTTCTTTACTGTTTGAAACTATTTGACTCGAAAACTACCGTTCCATATCTGCGTTTTCGGGTTCAATCGTAACAACAGGTTGCCTAAATTCCTTTTCTGATTACCCGGCTACGCTCAAGTTTTTTTTTCAAAAAAAAGTTATGGCCTTCAAAACTGTTAAATTTTGAACTTTGACCGTTTTTGGAAACTTTTTTGGTTTTTCTCGAAAACTACCCTGCCGAATTTAAGGTTCAGTGCTCAATCGAGGAACCCGTTCTTTGAATTATATCTGCTTAAGCAGGCACGGCCTATTTCTTTTAAAAAAAGTTTTGGATTTCGGAGGGTCAAGTTTTTGAGTTTGATCGTTTTCAGAAACTTCTCAACAAAAAGCTGCTCAACAATCTGAGATAAAGGGTTCAATCGAAAGAACCGGCTGCAAATGTTTTTCCTACAGAAGCGGTGTTTCCTTGGTTTTTGTAAGAGAATGGTTGTCCTTGGGAATGTTTTTGTTCTACTTATTTTAGTAGTAGAGAAACAACCAAAAAATTTTACCAATAGAGAAAATTACCCATTTCATTTCGCATCAGTAGAAAAAGCTCCAAAAAATATCAAACCGGTAACTTCGATTTTCGCTTAGCCTCTAGTTATCTTTTACCGAGACGTACGAAAGTTGTGGTTCAACTAGTTTTTTTAAACTCATTTTTAAAATATTTTTACTGTTTGTGTTGTATCGCAAGTGTGGCAAAGCTCCGCTTCGCCTCTGTGTTTTAAATTGTTTTTAAACATCTTTCAAGTTAAAAAATTTTGGACATGGACTATGATGTTTTTTTTAGAAACGAATCTAGAATCAACAATAAATACCTACCTTCCGAGGCTATAATTTGATCGCAGAAAGATAAGATAATAGCTAACGCCACTGAAATTGTTGCCATAGTTCAGGAAATACTGCGCTGAACTTATAAATTCATTTTGGTTGATGATTGCTATAGAGATTTTTATCGAGTTTGTAATTCTCTATCAGTATTTATTCACCAGCCACCTGTTTTTGGTATCAATTATTTACAATTAGTTTTCACAATATTTTTGCTTCTGATCAAATCTTACATTTATTGCTATATGAAACTGTATGGAAGGCGCAAGTTGTTCTTTCAAGAAAAAACGTCCATTCATTATGGTCTTCTGACTGAATTAAAACATTAAAAAAAAATGGTTATGGATAGAAATAACAACTCACAATTGTGCGCTCATGTGGAGGTGATGAAACCCCTAGGGTGCAAAGATGGAAGTACCTCTGAGTCTTTTTTGACGGCGCATCCTGAAATAGTTTCTGAAGTCGATTGCTTGGGTGTCAATATATACTAAAATTTGGAAGAGATTCCGAGCCGTGAATTGCTGTTTTTCATGTATCCCGAGTGATATTCACATATTTTATTTACGTGCAGTAGCGATTTTGGACCCCCCCCCAATCCGCTACTGCACGTATATAAAATATGTGAATTTCACTCGAGATACATGAAAAAGAGCAATTTACGGCGCGGAATCTCTTCCAAATTTTAGTGGGACTAAGTTTAGGGGGACTTTCGAGACAGTAGCGGATTTAGACCCCCCCAAATCCGCTACTGTCTCGAAATAGTCCCCCTTTGTACTATTTTGAGATCCATTTTTGGCTGACTGACCTTAAAATTTTTCTATTGGCGCCTTGAGCGCCAATCTATACTAAATTTGAGGGGGGAGCGCGCGCCGAAAAAACGCATTTTTTTTTATCGAAACTTTCCAAAAAGTGCCTAAAAACGCTTTTTTTGGCCTTTTTTCAAAATTTTGCTTGCGGCTCAGAAAGTTTGGTCAAATTAGGGTCTTTATAGTGCTTGGGGAGAGCTCAGAAAACCAATTTGGTCGGCCCATAAAAAAAGGTCGACAAAGTTTTCAATTTTGTTTTTTGAAAATCCGTCCCCCTCAAGAAATTCTTAGATCCGCGTCTGTATACGTGCAATAGCAGTTGTTTTAAAATCGGGTTTTAAACTTTTCTCCCAGTAAACAATTTCGTCATCCTTTTCTTTGGTTTTTTTCCATGACGTGACTTTCGAGTATGTTTTGACTAAGTAGAACATGCTCTTATAAAACACCTGGACCAATTTTTTACATTCATGGGCTAACTGCGAATATCTGTCACACTGCTATCGGCTTAGTATGAAAAATGATTAGTATCAGTTGAGTGACAAAAAATGAAACCAAGAAATTGCATAACAGTCTTTCACTATGTTTGAATTTTCATTCTTGAGATCCAAGAATAGTTGCGTATAACTTTTGACCTTAAATTGGTTACTTTTTGTTTCAAAGTTTCAATGGGTTTTAAATTATTTTGAGCTGTTTATTTGAACTAAAATTTTGAACTGTCCATTTGAAACTAGATAAATGCTTATTTGTTAATTTTTTTTGTAATTTTTGAAATAATTATTTTTAGCCTTCAGAAGAAACAGTCAAGCTGGATAATATAGTAATTATCGACTCTTGTTTACTGTTCAGTTAATAAGTGTTCATTTCGTTCGGAAGTCGCTGAAAGTTCACATTAAATTTTTAGCTACACTGTTTTGGTTTTATTGTTCCGACTTTCGATACGAAAGTAACGGAATATTTGTGCTCGGGGTGGGTTTTTTCTTCTTCAGACAAATTTCGACTTTTTAACTAGCCATTTTTGACGGTTTTTTTTACATCATTCGAAAGGTATTGTTGTCCTGAGCTCAAATTTGAAAAAATATTTCACCTGTGATCATTTTTCGTAAAGTTACGGGGGTTTAAAGATTGCCATTTTGGCCAATTTGGGACAATTAACGCGCGATATATTTCGCGCTATTAACGCGTAAGCGGAGAGTTAATCCGTCTTAGAAATCGTTCCAAATTGGTTAAAAGAAGCTTATGTGCCATAATTGGTTTGTTGCAAGGAGCGAAATCTATCCTTTTGTACTTTGTATGGCGTGTGGGGGGATGATTTTCTAAAAAAAAAATTCAAATTTTAGAATTTTTTTTTTAATTTGTTTTATTTCATTGAATTTTAAAATGTTATTACTGCTCCATAAACCTTTAAAGGCAGTCGGAACATTCAGGGCTTCGCCCTGATACGAGCAGTCTTGTTTTTTTTCCGTTTATTTTTTACTTAGAGTGCAAAAAGGTTTATTAGAAAATTGGTTTTCATGATTAATGTTTTGAGGAAGTTAACTCCCTAGTGTGAAAATTTGAGCTCTAAATGAGGTTCCAGATTGTCTGTCGCTTAGGTAATTGCTGAACCAGTGGTTTAAAAATATATGACATCGAGGAGTTAATTAGTTAGATGGGAAAGCTTGATTACATTGATACTTTTGCCTTTTTCAAAACAGTTCTAGTTAAATTTGAAATTTTCTCGGAAAAATTGCAATACCTTGGAAAATACACTGAGCTTAAATCATAATTACGCTTGTGACAAGCAAGGCGTTATTTAGTTGGAATATAGACTTCTTCAGGTTAACAACATGTTTAACAGAACTACTTAAATCATTTGATAGCTTGATGTATAAAAAATTCAAATTTGTAGCTTCTCGGGGACTATTAGCTCAGAGGTAAAGACCACGCCTGGTAAGGAAACGTCCTCGCTTTAAGTACGGCGAGGAAGTGTTTTTTAAGTGAAAATTTCTTGTTGGTCGGCTAAGTTTCATACGGTCTTTACGGTTTCACAGCTTAAGTTATATCGGCTTAGTGACCCAATTGAAGTCGTTTGATAGGAAAAAAATATTTTAAAGTTTGTTTCTGTAGGGACAGGGGCGTAATTTTCAAGAATATCAGAACTTTTTGAGCCTAACGGGCTTTTACCCTGTTTTTTTCCGTCTTAGTTGCCGCTCGATAAGTGTTTTTGCTGCTTATTTAACGCCGACGAATCTGTTGTTGAAGTTTTTCCTCAAATTAAACATCTTCGAGACCAGCATTCGGAGTTATGTAGTTATATTTTTTTTCGACAGTTTAAAAAATTGATTTTGATGTACAAAATGAACCAAAAAATACTGTCTACTAGCTTGCAATGCTAATTTTGTGTGGTATCGAAAGTGGTGCAAAGCGCTGCTCTGCGTCTGCAGCAGCAATAGCACACACAGAGGAGAAGCGGTGCTTTCTTTAAAGATTGCAACAGCAATATCAAGTACAATCTTCTAGGAACCTGAAATTTTTCTTGGGACATAGGCTGTAACTAATTCGGAGAGGTTTTAGGCTTTAGGTTTCAGGTTGAATTGAACTGTAGCGTCAAAGTATTGGATCAATATCTCCTACTAAGAGTCGATGAACGTAGTTCAGACTCTTATATATGTCGCGATGATTTTTTTCTTTTTTTTCAGGAAAAGTTTAAATTTGTTCAGGCTCAATTTATTGGCAGTTGGCTTTAAGTCTGTCAGATCATTTACCTGATTTCACTTTACAAATTTTTATCCTGTAGTTTTCCAAACAGTTGTAAGCCGTTTTTTTTTCTAAGTAGCACCTCAGACTCTCCTCAATACAAAAATGACCAAAACTTAATGTTCTTTGATGTTTTAGTTGACAATCAGTCGTCGGCTGAGTTTCTAAAAAATTTTACAGCATGAGGACTTTTTAAGTGACGCGCGGTTTTTAAATTTGGAGTATCCTAAAACCAAATAACTTAATTACATTTTATTTGTAATTTTCCACCAATTTTTCAGTTGATCAAGAGTTGATGATCGTAGTGAAGGCTCTTATATAGATGCTGATGATTTTTTGTTTGTTTTATTTAGGTAATTTGTTCATGTTAAAATTTGATTAGAAGAAAACGGAATGTCTATTATTTTGAGTGGTTATTAAGAGACGATGAACGGCAAACTCCACTATCGATAAGCGGAGTGTAAAGTTCACGAAAAACGTGATTGACTTTTTGTTTCGAAAGAGGAATTTTATTTTCAGATTTCCCAGCGAAATAAAAATGTTACTTATCGATTCAGTTTTTTCAAGTTAATTTTATCAAAAAATGTCAATTTAATTTGTTTTCGAAATGCAAAGAACTTTAAGGCCATCTATTTTTTCTTTGAAATTCGAAAGTTGAGATAAGTCAGTATTTTTTTGTGTTTACGTGCGTTCATTGACTGCTTTTCAACTGTCTGCGGGCCATGTTTAAAAGTTAAATCAAATAAATTTGGCTGTTGTCTTGTTTAACAGTTAGCCGGGCTTTTTGTCTTGGAGCCAAGTGTCCTGGAGAATGTTTGCACTCACAATAGGTTTGTGGGTAACAAAAATGTTTTGGGACACAAATGTCAGACACAAACAATTAAAGTTTGATGGTATACAGTTACAGTTTTTGAGAGATTTCCACGAGACCAGTTCAATCAAGGAGGTCTTTTTCATTTGAAATCATGAGAAGCTTTCTTGTCTAAGCTAGTCATTTCTGGATTGCCTCAAAAGAGGAGCCATATTCCAGGCTTGCAAAGGTCTGAGTTAACGAGTGGTTTCAGGAATGCTCTGACAATTTGAGTTTTGAGACTCAGTAGAGAGTGGGACAGGAGGGAGCTGCGAAGTTCTGGGCCCGTTTTGATTTTTCTGGGTGACGAAGGTTAATAGTACTGCGAGAATTCTTAATTCAATGAGTTAAGCTAGATAGTTCAGGCTTCAAAGTTTTTTTTTACAAAAATCGGTTTAGCTTTTTGGACCAAAAGGGCATGAAGAACGTGCCATTTTATGTGATTCTCCGTCTTCAGATTCAAAAAGGCGCATTATAAATGAAGATTCCGTTTTTTTTCTCTTCATCTTCCGTTATCAAGTTTTATGCGATACGAGCGGGTGAGCTTTCAATTTTCATTTTTAGCCTTGGAACGACAATTTTGCTTGTTGTCATTGCGCTACTAAGTTAGGTAGGTTCATTTTAAGAGATCCGAATTACGATAGTGCCGAAAATAGAAAAGCGTTGAAGAGTGCCGAAAATTAGAAAGCTAGAAAAGATAAATCTGTAGAAATAAGGCAGCAGCAAAAGAAAGCGAGAAATCCTCTGTAATTGCTGCCAGCATCAATCAAAACAAATCAACAAACAACTCTTTTAATATGTAGACCTAAATTTTAGCTAAAAAAGTATTACTGCAATATATAAATTGTTCTGGTTTCTGTTCTAAATATTTCAAGTAAATTCGAAGCTAAGTTCACGAGGATGTTGAAAATGATTTTTATCCCCCTAGTTTTTGTCTCATTTTGCTTCGCTATGTTTGTGTCGCATTGAAATTGGTGCGAGGCTCCAGTTCGCCTCTGTCTGTATATCTTGTTGGGTTCTAGTCAACCGCAAAACCTGCAAATTGAAATCTACAACGTAGCTAATAATTTTTTGAAGATAGCTTTATTTTGTTTATAATAGATAGTAGATTAAATCTGACTGTCGTGACCAGAGTTTATCCTACGAATGAGTTTGCAGGCTGCAATCAGGTTGCATCGAGGAGACATGCTCGTATTCCCTTGAATTTGCCTCCTAATTGGGTTGTACCAAATCAATGGGTGGAGTTTCCTTGGTTTATTTGTTTTGTTGTCCATAATGATCTATTGCACTGTCTGTGTCCTCTATAGCTTTTTATTTTTTCTTTAATTTCTGGGCGTTTTTGTGGCGTTTCTGTTTTTAAATTATTTTAAAAAGGTATTAAAATTTGCGTACTCCAGATGATCAAGTTCATTTCTGCAAAGAGCGAAAGTTTTGCCTGAAAGTTGAACCATTTTCAAAGTGCAGTTGCAAAAGATAACAGGAGCAGGCGTTTTTGGGTGGTGGTTATAAAAAAAAGCGCTTTGAAGTAATTTCTATTGCGATCTATTGTGATATCAAATTTTGCGCTGGAACAATTTTCCGGAGCCAAAATTTCTTCGTAATTCAGATAATGGGGACAACAAGGGCAAACTATTTTTTAAGTTCGGTTAGAGCACACTAACCAAAAAATAGTTATTTTTACTCCTTTGTTTGGAATCTTTAACAATTTTTTAAAGGTTGCTGTGCTTTTAGTTGTTTACCAACGAGACGTTTTAAGACTTGCGGGTGACATTTTCACCGAAAGTGTAATTGATATTTCAATTAAGGCACAAACGAAATGACAAATTAGTTTTTTTGTTAAACTCCTACCGAAATTTCAAGTTGATTTAGACGTACGCACACAAATGAGTTGCAGTGTATAAAAAATCTGACTATCGTGGCAAGAGTTTTACCTATGCATGAGTTTGCAGGCTCCAATCAGGTCGGGAGACATGCTCGTATTTTTTTTAAATTTGCTTCCTAAATGGGTTATACGAAATTAGTGGGTGAAGTTTTTCCCTAGTTTATTTGTTTTGTTGTTCATATTGATCTATTTGCCTTTGTTATGTTCTCTGTGGCAGCTTTTTTTCATTTTTGTTCCTCAACTTCTGGCGTTTCAACTCTTAGATCTATTTTAAAAAATAAAAATGACTTAATCCAATTGATCGAGTTCATTTCTGTAAAGAGTGGAAATTTTTGCCTGAAAATAGAGACATTTTCGAAAAGCAGTTGCATAAGATTACAGAAACAGGCTTATTTTTGGGTAGTGGCTTGAAATAAAGCTCTTTTAAGTAATTTCTATTGTTTCAAACAATGTGAAATCTTATAATATTTGTAAATAGTGAGTTCTTTTCAGTTGATTTGTGTTACCTGACTTTGCCCTGAAACAATTTTCCGAAGGCAACATTTTTTTTCGTAATTCAGATGATTGGACCAATATTGGCAAACGATTTATTATTTTCGTTTAGCACACTCAACCAAATAAATTTTATTTTTACCCCACCGGTTGGAGACTTTTAATACAGTTTTCAGATTGCTGTGCTTCTAATTGTTTACAAACGAGACGTTTTAGGACTTGCGGGTGACAGTTTTCACCGAAAGTGTAATTGATATTTCAATTAAGGCACAAAGGAAAGGCAAATTTGTTTTTTTTTGTTATACTCTTAGCGAAATTTGGTGTTGATTTAGACGTACGCACACTAATGCGTTGCATTAATTTGCCAGTTGATTTGTTGTATGCAATCAGTTTAGTTTATGCTGCCTGAGATTCAAGTCTCCATGTAGGGGGAGGGGGGGGTATTAACCGATAAAACTCGGCTAATTCAATAGTTTTCAATGACGTTAAAAGAGACTATTTTTAGTTTATTACGTAGATAAAATTTGAATTCATTCCTCATCTCAGTACAAACCCATTGTGAATTACATTGGTCGGATTCATTTTAGAGATGCTAATGTTTTCTGTCTAATTGGATTGAACACAATCAATGGAATTTAAATGACTGCCATTTTTGTTCATTTCACAAATGTGACGTCAGCAGTCAGATGAAGATGATTTAGATAGATAATGAAAATATTCATAGTGCCGCTGTCATTATTGCCTCAATCATCGCAGTCAACAGATGAAAAGCGGAAGACGCAAGACCACGCTCCTCTGTTGCTCTTTCTTCCTAAGTAAAAGCAGGCGAAAACGAAGAACACAAACACTAATGTCTGCTTGTTTATTCTAAAGATATCGTCGTATCAGCATGGCATCAGCAATAACCTAATTAGTAAGTTACTTTTTAAATGCTTCCGTTGGCCCAACTTCAATTGCATATCTTTATTTATGGTACAAGCATGATAGTCGGGTCCCAAAAACTGAAATGTATCCCTGAAGAAGTTTTCACAAAAAATGAGGGACCCATCTTTCAGCTTTTTCCTGGGACCCAATTATCATATTTGTACCTTTCATATTAGAATAATTAAAGTAATAAATAAGACTGCTCGTATATCAGGAGGGCAAAGCCCCGAATGCTCCGACTGCCCCTTAACTGGTCTCGAAAGTCTGAATAATCATTTCAATTTGATTTTCTCCACTGATTTTAAGTCTAAGTAGTCACTTATCTAGGATTTATTTGTTCCGACTTGCGAAGAAGCTGACCAAATATTTGGTCTCGGGGTGGTTGTTTAATCACAATTGTCGATTTTTTACGAGCTATTTTTGACGGTTTTTAAACCATATGAAAGATATTGAAGCCTTGAGCTCATAATTGATTTTTTTTGTGATCAGTTTTCGTAAAAGGGGTTTTAAATTATGACTTTTAATTACTATAATTTGAATTTGGTTGATTAACGCGTGATTTCTTTTGCCCTGTTAAAGTGTAAGCAGCTTTCCAAATTGAATTGAGGAGAACACTAAGGGCTTCACATTGGTACGAGCAGTCTGGTTTGGTTTTGCTTTTAACTGGAAGTTTCAAGTTTGAACACGGCTATTTTGTATATAGAGTTTCTTTTTTATTGCAAATATGTAAATTCAATTGATCCTTGAAAAAAACCTGTTACAAAAAACAACAAAATTTACAAACAAAATGTTAAATCACATATTATCGATTTTTTGTAGACACAAGGACAATGTTCTTGTGTAAACTTAGTAATAATAAATATCGAACTGTATGAATCATTCCGTCTACAAAAAAATTGGCGTTGTGAATTCGCCCCTTTCTTGGTTAAAGTTACCATGTTAAGCTTGAAACTTTCATAATGATTGACTTTTTCAAGGTGAGTGTTAATATGTCGCTCTTCATTTTTGTTTTCAAACGTGGATTCATTCTTGAGAGTTTTCAGCAAAAGATGATATTATTAGACTCCTGACTTACTCTTTACGTGGAGTCCGAATCCGTAGATAATTCTCATTACGTAAACTACACGAAAGAAGTTCATCTGGTCGCTAACTAAATTCATTGATTATAGATCTATAATATCTATCTATCTATCTATCTATCTATCTATCTATCCTATCTATCCTATCTATCCTATCTATCCTATCTATCCTATCTATCCTATCTATCCTATCTATCCTATCTATCCTATCTATCCTATCTATCCTATCTATCCTATCTATCCTATCTATCCTATCTATCCTATCTATCTATCTATCTATCTATCTATACTATATTTAAATGCGAGTGACAGCTATCTCCCACGTTTAAGCATAATATTTTTGCATTTTTAACAAAAGAATTGTTTCATGTTTAAGCTATAGAATATATTGCAATGTTTAAGAAAATTTTTCAATTAGGTTTTCGCAAGGTCATTAATTTTTCAGTATTTTTTTCGAGGCCAAATTAAGTCTGTATACCTGCTATTTTAATTATCTATCTATCTATCTCTATCTATCTATCTATACTATATTTAAATGCGAGTGACAGCTATCTCGCATGTTTAAGCATAATAATTTTGCATGCTTAACGAAAGATTTTTTTCATGTTTAAGCTATAGAACATATTGCAATGCGTAAGAAAATTTTTCAATTAGTGTTCGTAAGGTCATTAATTTTTCAGTATTTGTTTTTGAGGCCAAACTATTGCCCTAATTTGGTGTCCTACTTTTCGCACAAGTAATCCTTGTAGCAATCAACAATTTTTATTCCAATTTTTTTTCAGAACCTCAACGAAACCCGAAGTTTCATGCTTTTTGTTTTTCTAGTCGTTTCTTCAACGATTGCTACGTTCGAAGTCTTTTTGATAGTTTCTGGAGGTCTTGCTGTTTTAGTCCTATACTTGTTGTATCGCAAGTGTTGCGAAGCTCAGCTTTGCCTTTGTTTTAAAAATTGAAGCGTTCTTTACTTTTTTAGATATTTCATTCTGTGTTTTTACTACACATTCCTATACAAAACAGTCAAGAAAAGTATGAAAGTGAACAAGAAACAACCCGGTACAGTACAGTCCCAAAAAAGTTCCCTAGTGATAATTGTTTGAAAAATCAGGTAGGCCGGGCTTTATGCTTTATTTGAACAAGATAATCAACAAATTGGCGCCTCAGTCACTTAAACGTGTTGCGAGATTGTCAACGGAAAATAAAAGTTATATATTGCTATAAGAGTCGTTTATATGTTTAACTTTCACTTTGTAGCATATATTTTATTTTTGTGTTTGGTTTATTGTGGCTAGTTTCGTTTTGTTAAAAGCGGTATTACGAAAATGTAGGGATTTAAAATTTTCACTTATAATAGGATCGTGATCTATCTATCTATATATCTATATCTATATTTTATATTTAAATGCGAGTGACAGCTATCTCCCACGTTTAAGCATAATATTTTTGCATTTTTAACAAAAGAATTGTTTCATGTTTAAGCTATAGAATATATTGCAATGTTTAAGAAAATTTTTCAATTAGGTTTTCGCAAGGTCATTAGTTTTTCAGTATTTTTTTCGAGGCCAAATTAAGTCTGTATACCTGCTATTTTAATTATCTATCTATCTATCTCTATCTATCTATCTATACTATATTTAAATGCGAGTGACAGCTATCTCGCATGTTTAAGCATAATAATTTTGCATGCTTAACGAAAGATTTTTTTCATGTTTAAGCTATAGAACATATTGCAATGCGTAAGAAAATTTTTCAATTAGTGTTCGTAAGGTCATTAATTTTTCAGTATTTGTTTTTGAGGCCAAACTATTGCCCTAATTTGGTGTCCTACTTTTCGCACAAGTAATTCTTGTAGCAACCAACAATTTTTATTCCAATTTTTTTTCAGAACCTCAACGAAACCCGAAGTTTCTTGCTTTTTGTTTTTCTAGTCGTTTCTTCAACGATTGCTACGTTCGAAGTCTTTTTGATAGTTTCTGGAGGTCTTGCTGTTTTAGTCCTATACTTGTTGTATCGCAAGTGTTGCGAAGCTCAGCTTTGCCTTTGTTTTAAAAATTGAAGCGTTCTTTACTTTCTTAGATATTTCATTCTGTGTTTTTACTACACATTCCTATAAAAAACAGTCAAGAAAAGTATGAAAGTGAACAAGAAACAACCCGGTACAGTACAGTCCCAAAAAAGTTCCCTAGTGATAATTGTTTGAAAAATCAGGTAGGCCGGGCTTTATGCTTTATTTGAACAAGATAATCAACAAATTGGCGCCTCAGTCACTTAAACGTGTTGCGAGATTGTCAACGGAAAATAAAAGTTATATATTGCTATAAGAGTCGTTTATATGTTTAACTTTCACTTTGTAGCATATATTTTATTTTTGTGTTTGGTTTATTGTGGCTAGTTTCGTTTTGTTAAAAGCGGTATTACGAAAATGTAGGGATTTAAAATTTTCACTTATAATAGGATCGTGATCTATCTATCTATATATCTATATCTATATTTTATATTTAAATGCGAGTGACAGCTATCTCCCATGTTTAAGCATAATAATTTTGCATGTTTAACGAAAGAATTTTTTCATGTTTAAGCTATATCATATATTGCAATGCTTAAGAAAGTTTTTCATTTAGTTTTCCGCAAGATCATTAATTTTTCAATGTTTTTTTTCGAGGCCAAATTAGGTCTGTCTGTCTGTCTGTATACCTGCTTTTTTATTCAATTTGATTATGTCTCTCTACCCGTCGCCTAATTTTTATCCCTTCTGTTATATATTTAAAGCGGGCTTCCTTATCTCACCTTGTTTAAGCTTTTTCAACGTATTATTTTTTCATGTTTAACAAAAGAATTTTTTCACGTTTAAGCTATGTCGTATATTGCAATGGTTAAGGTTTTTTTTTGCGATTTTCCTATTTAGATATAGTGTTTTTTTCATCAAATTTGAAATTAGCAACCCAGTAGTAGGAAATCTTAAGAGTTTTCCCAGGTTTTCAGATTCTGGCCTCCATATATGAATAACCAAATCCTTTTAGTTTCGAGATGGGCAATTTTCGAGATTTTTTAAAAATTTCTAGAAATATTTATTTTGAAAATTTTCTGTTTTTGAAATTCTCACCCTGTAGTTAGGTACTGTCAGGGTATTCTCAGGGGTTGCGAATCCTACCTCCAATTCTCACTTCTCAAATTCTTGTAGTTTTCGAGATATGATGGTTTTTAAGATTTTTTCAAAAAAATGTTAAAAAACTTAGATTTTAAAAAATTCCAAAACGAAGATCTCATTCCTGTTATTGGATATTGTGAGGGTACTCTCAGGGGTTTCGAATCTTGCCTCTGATTATGGCTGCTCAAATCCTTGTAGATTTCGAGATATGTTTTTTTGGATTTTTTCAAAATTTTTCAGAAAACTTAGATATAAATAATTTCACAAAACTTGAAATTACCATCTCTGTACTGAGGTTCTGTCAGTGTACTCTCAGAAGTTTCGAACTTCGCGGCCAAATATGACTGCTCAAATCCTTGTAGTTTTCGAGATATGACGTTTTTTATAATTTAATCCGAAATTTTTTTAAAAAAATTAAAAGTTAAAAAATTCCAGACTTTTGAAGATCTCGATCCTGTTATTGGAATCTGTGAGGGTACACTCAGTGGATGGCTAGTTTTGCCTCTGATTATGGCTGCTCAAATCCTTGTAGATTTCGAGATATGACATTTTCTTGGATTTTTTCAAAATTTTTCAGAAAACTTAGATATAAATAATTTCACAAAGTTTGAAATTACCATCTCTGTAGTGAAGTTTTGTCAGGGTACTCTCAGGAGTTGCGAACTTCGCCGCCACATATGACTGCTCAAATCCTTGCAGTTTTCGAGATATGACGTTTTTTATGATTTAATCCGAAATTAAAAAAAAAAATTTAAATATTAAAAA